GAAGTCCTGGGCAGTCCTATATATGGTGTGTTTCTCCCCATGACAGCTGTCAACGGCCTTGCAGAGGCACCTTGGCAGAGCCTCAGGACCCCCTTGACACAGCTGTGTATTTCCAGGCTTCCCCTCAGCCTCTGTATAAGCAACCGTGGGAAGCTGGGACGTGGGACAAGACTTTGGGGCTGTTTGAGCCCAATTTACACCTCTGCCTCTGCCTTAGGTCTCCCTTAGGACTCCCTTCTCCCCTCTGCAGGAAGCAGGGATTGAAGGTAATCCCTTGCCTTGTTATAGGGAAGTGGATGGCAGGAGTATTTCCCACCCCAAGAGGCATCCCACTGGGCCGGACTCAGAGTATGTCAGGACCCTGGTCAGCGCCCCCTCTGTGCCCCACTACACCGGAAAGGCAGGAGCTATTTCTAGCCTGCAACCCCGCCCTGGAGTCCCAGCCCTTCCAGCCATTAGTCATCTTCGCATAGAGCCTGGCAACTTTATGCCTGTGCATAAAAACTGGAGGGATTCGTCCTGGAGTTTGCTGCCGCCGCCGCCGCAGCCATTAGAGCAGTTTTAATTAGCTCAGGATTTTAATGATCTGAAATCAAGAAGAACCCCTTCTCAGAAGTAAAGCAGGAGCTGCACACATGGAAGAACTTGTCTGACGAAACAGATGGAGGTGGCGTTCTCAGGGGACCGGCTGTGCGCTCCTTTTCAGCGAGCAGCAAATGAGCTTCCGAGGCCAGAAGGCTGAGGAGGAAGCAGAGGTCAGTCCCAGTGTCGCCCTGGCCGGCGCCCGGCAGGGGCAGAGCCAAGGTTGGCCCCTCCGCCGCCAGGGCTAATGCGTGGTGCCGGATTCAAGGTGACGGCAGTGCCTGGCTCCATTCTCCTCAAGTTGCCATAGCAGCCTCTCTCTCTCTCAATGAGAGCTTCTCCTGGAGCCCTCAGCTGGGAGGGAGGGACGTCATTGTTCGCTCCTGCCCGTTCCAGGAGGAGACCGACTGGACAGAGAACTTTCCCCGCCCGGGGTCTGCCCACCAAGTGGGTGCACCCACGGGCATGTGCTCGGGTGCCTCTTGCTGCTGCCACTGGGGCGTGGGTGGGTCCCCACAGCCAGAAGCGGTCCTCTGGGTGACCGGGGACGTATCCAGGCCTTGTAGCAGCCACAGCCAAGCGTGTCCTTGGAGCCGTCCGTTTGCCGCCTGCCGGGCCATCGCCACTGGAGGTGCGTTATTTTGTTTTGGGTTTTTATTTTTGGCTGAATTCCCAAGTACTTGCTTGTGCCCTGAAGTGAATTTTTTTTTGAAGAGACAATTTTTAAATCAGATAAATAAGGAAATGGGAGGAATCCTTGGCCCTGCCCTGTGTCCCAGGAGGTGTTTACAAGATTAATTGGATTTTTTTTTTCTTACAGTAAAAATTGGCGACGCCATTCAGGTGTCAGGGAGAGGAGCCGCTGGGAGTTCTAGGAATTGTGATGAGGGCGGGACCTTCTGGAAACTCAATGGGCTGTTTATTTTCCCTGTCTCACTGCTCCCCACTCTGCCCCCAGTTATTAGAGTTTTCTCATTGTCTTGGTTGTAGAAGGGAGGCAGGGAGATAGAGGAGAGCTTTCTCTCTGTCTTTGGAGCTGAGGCCGATGTGGTGCAGGGTGAGGGGGCCGCAGACCCAGGTGGGCCTGCGAACGTGTTTATGGGGCCTGGGCAGCCTGGCCATGCCTGTGACAGATCCTAGCGTCCGCCATCCAGGCAGCGGCTCGGCTCCCAGGAGGAGACAGCCTTCGGACCAGCGTCTCCCTGTTGCCTTGAAAATAGCCTGTGGCCTGGAAGACAAGGACCCTTAGGGACAATAGGAGACCAGATGTGCGCACTGTCTGGAGTGTTTGCTGGTGTGTTGATGACCTCCCCTCTACCCCACCTTTAAAGAAAGAACCTTACTGACTCTGTGATGCTGGCCCCCTCCTGGGGCATTGAGACCCAGCAGACTTTGAACAGTCTTGCTTCCCATTTGCATGGCAGGTAGTTAGCTGGCCAGATGGTCTCCAGTGAGAGCAAACACTGACCGGGAAGTCTGGTGCTTAGGCGCTGGCCAGGGAAGCCATGCTCAGCTCTAACCCCAGCTCCCCGGGCATGGAGAAGGTGCCTGTCTCTCTCAGGGGCCAACAAAGGGAAGGGCCTCTGAAAAGAGAGATTTGAATGGTTGCTGATCTGCCACAGTGCAGGTGTAGATCCTGAGGCTTCATCCTCTTTCCCCCCAGATTGGGGGCTGGGATGTGGTCCTCATTCAGGCTCCCAGGCTCATGGGCTGCCAGAGCCCAGCTCCATGTGGTGGGCTGATGTGGGCAAGTTCAGAAACAAATGAGGCCGGGTCATGGCTGCAGGACAGAGGAAGTCAATGTGTAAGATTGCAGAGAAGAGGGGACTGACTGGCTCTGTAGTCACTTCTGCAGCTCCAGCCACTGTCCAAACCATGCGATGTGATCCCCGGGGCACCCGAGTCCCCTTTCTTCATCAGACGGAGTGTTTGGGCTGAGGTTGGGTGGCACTTTATCAGTTGTTTCCAAGCACTTTTAGCCAAAACTTGCCATTATTTTCCCCTACCTCCTCAGACCCCCCACCCCCAATTGTCCTTCTCTCTCCTTCCTTACAAAATGTCCTAATGTCAGAGGTCACCCTAGATCAGATTGCCCTCCTGGCCTCAGTCAGACTCAGGAGGCCCGTGTGGCCGCAGAATGTGTGCCAACACCATGACCAGCATAGTCAGGGCTTTGTGGCAATTTCCTCACAGCTGGGCTCTTGCTGGGGACCGTCAGTGGTGTGGGTGTGCAGGTGCTCGCCAGTGTGCATGCAGGGGTGTGTATATACCTGTTAGCGCATGTGTCCTGTCTCCACTGCATCCCCACTCCTTCCATTCTTTTCTGTGATGCCTGGCAATTTCAAGAGGTTAACCAACTGCTGGAGGTAAGGGGCAGAGCAAGGGCAGGATAAAATAGCTCCACCTCCCCCATCAGTGGCTCACACTTCCCCTGGACCTCAGGGCTGGCCCCAGTGGGCCCGGCAAGCACTGCCTGGGAGTCCGCAGGGCATGAGCACGCTGTGGGGAGCACTAAGAGTGGCCTTGTTCTTCAACACAGCCTGGGGTCTGTCCCGGTCCCAGGACAGTCAGACCCAGGGCAGCCATGAAGGGGGAGGCCATGGCCCCACATGAAGTACTGTAGGGTCTGAGCTTGGGAACAGGGGCTGTGGCTGCCCATTTTCACCCACTGCAAACCTGGGCAGAGTGACCTCGGGGTTGGCAGGAAGCAGCAGTCTTCCCTGAGGCTGGAGCCAGCCTGAAACCCTAGAGCCAGCTCCAGACACAGAGCAGAGCTTTAGGCTTCCTCCCAAACATAAAAGACTGGGAGGTCATGGGAACCACCTGCTCGGCACAGCCCAGGAGCCCAGGATCAGGCTGGTTCCTCATGCAGAGGCCTGGGGCAGGTTAATTAAAGTTAACTGAGTGAAGAAATAATTACAGAGACTGCAGTGTGGAGAAATCCAAACCCGCAATTTAACACTCCTCAGCCCCAGAGCCTTCCCTGAGCAGCCCAGGCCCTTCTGATCTGGGCAGGGGGAGGGAGGGCTTCTCTTCTTAGCACTTCCTGGCTCATGCCCCACAGGCTGGTGCAGAGGGGACAACAGCTGAGACTTCCTGCCGGAGTGCTTGGTGTCCAGTCAGAAATGGGTTTCCTGCCCTGAGCAGCGGAAGGGCCTTGTGCTGAGCCAAGCTGGTCTGGGGCCCAGCCAGCCACTACCTGTGGCTTCAGGTGGGAGCTGCCCACCTGGCTCAGCCCTCCTCAGGCACTGCCTTGTTCCAGGATGGGGGAAGCCAGGGCTCCTTGGGTTGAAAGAGGGTTGTGTCCCTGGGCTCGGGCTGGTAAGAACTGGAGAAAGTTGAGGGACAGAGGGACACTCCTTCAAAGGGGAGGTCCTGGGATACCTGCCCATCTGGCACAGCCTCCTGTGCGGACTCCTCTTCAGTACCCACACCGCCCCACTGCGGGAACTGGCATCCTTCCTTTAGGCAGATGGTTTTGCGTTGCCCCATCATTGCCCATAGCCTGGCCCAACCAGGGTCACTGGTTGATATTGGAATTTTTTACCCTTCAGGAGGAGTCAAGGTCAGGGGCAAGTTACATGCAGGCTCTGGGTCTGCAGTGGCCCAGCTTCTGAGCCGGGGGTGAGTCAGACTCCGGTCTGGCTGCCCTGCCTCAGCCCCAGGCCTGAGGGCCTCATGGTCCGAGACAAACACGATCTGGGATCTGGCCAGTCCCACCAGCCCATCCAGCAAGTCTGTCAGGGAGGGCAGCTCTGGCTGGTGTGGAATGGCCAGGTGGGGGCGTCAGTCTTTCCCCGACATCCTCTGGGCCTGGGAGGCACCTTCTCAAAGCCTCCTGCCCTGTGGACACTTGTCCCGAACATCTCAGAGAGGGGCTTGGGCAGAGGCGGACTGAGGCCTTCTCTGCTCACCAGGTCAATGGCAGGGACAAGGACCTGGATCCCCCTGTGTCCCTAGAACTCACCATGGCGTGCAGGTGTGCTTGTCGAGAGGCTCAGAGAGGTCGGACAGTGCCGGTGGGTGGCCACTGTGCCTAGCCTGGGTCTTGGGGCCTTACTCTGGGCTGTCCCAGGCAGAGGCCAGAGTGTGTCTCTCTCCATGGTTTTTCTGGGGGTGCCGATACAGGAACCCCTGGGGGGGAGCTGGTGTCCCAGCTCCAGGTGGTCACTGGACCTCCTTGGGCTTGAGAGGTGGAAGGGACACACCTGAGTTGCGAGGGGCTGAAGGCTTCAGGGGTTACACTCGGTCACGTGCAGTGACTGGGGCCTCGGCTGCCCAGGAGGCCCTGTGCGTGGTGATGGACCATCTTTCTCCCCTTCTGCCCTGTAGACTGTGGCCTGATGGACACCTGGTGTAGACAATGAGGGAAGATCTCGCCTCCCACACCCAAGAGGTGACCCCGCAGCAAGGCCCAGATGACCCCACGTGCTGGAACGATGCGGCTGGCCTGCATGTTTTCCTCCATCCTGCTGTTCGGAGCCGCGGGCCTCCTCCTCTTCATCAGCCTGCAGGACTCCGCGGGGCTCACCCCCCAGCAGGTGCCAGGTGAGCCCTCGCATTTGGCCCCACCACCCGCTTTCCCCCAAGGCTGCCCTGGGCCAAATCTGTGCTGAGACCCCCTAGCCTCCTCCTGGCAGGCATCAGCCTCAACATGGGAACTCTGATGTCAGCCTTAGGGCTCTGGCTTCTGACCTCTGACCTCTGGCCTCTGCACTCCTTTTGGGAATGATGGCCAGGCTCCCCATCTCTCAGCTGGTTGTTGCCTTTGGTGAAACTCAGCTTTAAGGAGGATTCTGCCACCTCTCAGGACCTCTTCCAGGATCTGGGACATCGGAGGGTGCATGATTTCTCCTTGAATTCATGTGCCCAAATGGGGCTCTCTCTGTCCAACCCTGAGACCCCTTGAATCTAGCCCCTCTGGCCTGGGCAGAGGGATAGAGGTACCTCCTGGGGCTGAGACTGCTCCTGCTGGTGTCCCACCTGCTGCCTCCCATCCCACCTGCCCCTGGTGACCCACTGGAGGGGCAAACCTCCCTGACCAGCAGAGGTCCGCTGGGGTCAGGAGGCAGAGCAGGACACATGGTTCTGGAGTCTTGGGCAGATGGGATGTGGAGAGAGGAGCTCAGGCAAGGTGCCTGCCTGTGGGACCAGCCCCTGCCCCAGAGAACACGGCAGGGTCGGAGGGCAGCAGGCACAGGTCCCTGGCCAGGGTCACTGCTTTGGAATGCGAGGAAAGCACCGCTGCCAGGCCCGGAGCGCTGGCGGCTCTCAGCAGTGGTCCTGGGCCTTGTTAGGGGCGGGCCATGAAGACACCAGGTGCAGTGTGATCTAGGGCACGGGCAGCACCTGGCCCCTAGGCAGGCAGCCTCCTCCCCCGCTGCCCTCAGCCCTGGCTGGCTCACTCTCAGGGCACTGTGGGCGGTAGGCAGTGGGTGGACAGGCAAGAGGATCATGAGCAGCAGAGTTAGGGCCCTGGGCTTGGCAGCTGCTAGCAGAGGCCCTGGCAGGGGACTCCTAGGAGTAGATTCTCTCATCACAGAGAGTCTGTGAGAGGCAGCCAAGGCTGCGTGTCCCAGGAGGTGGCAGCCAGTCACTGGTGCTGACTCACCCTGGCCGGCCCCTCACAGATGGTGGCTGTCACAAGTGGGTCTGGCTGCTCCCCAGCAAGGACATGTGACCAAGCTGGCTCCTCTGTGGGGACTTTGCAGCCTCATGAGGTAGCGGCTCTGTCAGCCTAATCAGGTCCCACGCCATCAGGACGGACAGAGTTGGCCCCGTGGTATGTATTACCTGGGAGGAAGTGAGCTCCAGAGGAGAGGCTCCCAAACACAGCCTGGGTGAAGCAGCACACATCCCCGCTGTGTGTGTGTGTGTGTGTGTATGTGTATGTGTGTGTGTATATGTGTGTGTGTGTGTGTGTGTGTGTGTTTATGTGGTGAGGTTGCACATATGGATAGAGGGTCCTCATGGTTGGTGTCCAGCTGGGACAGGGCCATGCACCCATCCGTGGCACACGCTAGAGGCAGGTGCTACATTCCTGGGTGGAGTTGGGTGTGGTGGCTGGGATTTCTAGGGTACAGTGATGAGCGGGGTGTGGAGGGTAGGGAAGGATCTCGAAGGCTCAGGCTGGCTGGGTGTGAAGGATGGAAGGAAGCTGTAGCCAGGGACCACGTGGGCCTGGCAGATGCAGGCAAAGAGCACTCTTGGGTCCTGAGCCGTGCTATTCTGACTGTAAATGGAACTGAACCACCCTTGCCACATGCCGGGTGACGGACAGCCTTGACACTCTACGTAAAGCCCACCAAACACAGTCGTAAAACTTTAAATAATGCTTACATTACTTTCCCTGAGCAAAGTGTTCCTGACACAGGCTGTTTGTGCTGATTTGTTACTATTCATTTATTCTTTCCCTGTACTTCTCACAGCAGCCTAATTGTGATTCGGTACCAAGAAAGCAATATCAAAGTAATTTTCCACAACATTAGTTACAATTTTCTTCTGATCTTTCAAGTGAAACAATCCCATCCTGTTGGCTTCTCTGAGCATATAAACCTTGATTACACTTATCTGTTGGAAACCAGTGCTTACAAAGTGTATGTATCCAGTTGCATGGGTGGGTGGCCCCCAGGGCCCTGGACAAGCCTTCTCAGGATGGATTCCTGCCCGTGGGAGCTGCAGACCCAGGCGGCTGCCCTGCCACCTGGATCGGACGAGGCTGAGGGGGTCTAAAGGGGAAATTCCACCGGGCAACTCTGTCTCTCACAGTGGCAGAGAGTTTCTGGGAAACCAGTCACTGGGATCTGCTCTGGGCGGCACTGACCAAGGTGGAAGGGGAGGGTGGGCAGGTGGCGACTTGGAAACAAGCTAAGAGGGCAGGTGGGAGCCCTTAGTTACTTGTGTTCTCAGGGTTGGGGTGCCGTTGAGGTTTCTCCCATGCAGTTACCAGGTGAACAGCTGCTGAATTTCTCGGGACCAGTCAGCACACATCACCTGGCTAGTGCATTAGAAGTAATCCTAGGGAATTGCCAACTGTTGTAAATCGAGCCTTATTTTCAAAAATGTTAGCTATATTTATTTATTTTTGTTGTTAATCCTCACCTGAGGATATTTTTTCATTGATTTTTAGAGAGCGTGGGAAAACAGAGAGAAATATCAATGTGAGAGAAACACATTGATTGGTTGCCCCCTAAATGAGTCCAACCAGGGACTGGGCCAGGGAGGAGCCTGCACCCAAGGTACGTGCCCTTAACCAGAATCGAACCCAGGACCCTTCGGTCCTCAGGTGATGGTCTATCCAGTGAGCCAAACTGGCTAGGGCAATGTTTGCTATATTTAAACCAAATCTTTTGAAATGTGAATCACTTCCAGTTAACCTGCCTTCAGTCTAAGATTAGATTTTCTTGTGGATCAGAGAATTCACCTATCCATCTTTAATTCTCCAATATTGCCAGGCCCTGAGTCACTTCTTGACCCAGGAGACTAGACTTATCCCTTTCCTAAATGGAAGACTCAGAGAGCATGCCAGAACCAGGAATGACACATCCCAACATGCTGGCCCTGGGGAGGCAGAAGACAGGCATACTGAATTTTTATGAGCTGTTTTTCTTCATGAACTTTTCACATGGGGAGTTTGGAACACACAGAGGAGTAGATTAGAACAGTACAATGGACTCCATGCACCCAGCACCCCACCCTGGCCACGCTGGCCCATCCACATCCCCACCCGCCTTTCTCCTTCTGTATGACTTCAAAGCAGGTTCCATGTGGAATATGAATGCAGCCATAAATATGTCAATGTTTTTCTCAGTTTAAAAGATAAGAACTCTTTGTTAACATTCAACATTTTTAATATCATCAGCTACTCAGCCAGTGTTCAAATATCTTGTTGTCTCACAAACATTATACATACCTTTAGTTCCCATTTGTTGTATTCAGTACCCAGGTCAGGCCCACACATGGCAGTTGATGGGCAAGTCATTAAACCTCTTCCATCGGTAAAATTCCCTCTCCATCCTTATTTCTCTCTTGCTATTTGGTGGAGGAAACTGGGTCACAAGTCCTGTAGAGTTTTCCACAGTTGGGATTTTTGCTGATTGAGTCCACTTGGTAGAATTCAATATTGTCTTCTGTTCTTTGGAGTCCCTATCAGTTAAGTAAATTAGCAGTTCGATCAAATGAAGGAAACAATGTAGTTTTTATTCTTTCTCCGGCCAGAATTCACGGGTGGCACCGGGTCCTTCCTTCAGGAGGTGCACATCTGCGGGGCTCGCTTTGGTGAAGTCGGTGGCCTAGACCCAGCCGTTCACTGGGGTGTAGACCCAGCGTTCACTGCACAGCGTGCTCTGCAGGTTTCTCATCTCTCCGCCCTTTTCAGTGGGATGGATTTTGTTCTAATGGGGTGAAGCGAGTGGTCAGTGACCCGTGAAACCAAAGTGACTGGTGGATTGATTGGGTTATTCATTGATACATTAAAGAAATTGACTTTATGATACAAATTGTGTTGTTAGCACACTACAAGTAGTTTTTCTTAATCTTTGGTTTTTGCAGAATGAGTTTTCCGAAAGCAGGGCTTTCAGTGATGTAACTGCTTCCCCAGAGCTGTGGAGTTGTGGGTGGGGGTGCTGGGGACTGGGGCTGGTGCTGGGGAGTCGGGGCCGGAAGGCAGCCGCTGGCACAGCAGATGTTCTGCTCGCGTTGAGAGTGCATTCAAAGGGACTGGACAGCTCAGGTGGTGTCTTGGTCTACAGCCTACCCCAGGGCACTCCCTCCAGGGCAGAGGGCATTCAAGGATAATCACAATAACAAACAACCACTTGCCAGGTCTTGTGTTTTCATGCATATCCTACCTAATAAAAGAATAATATGCAAATTAACCATCACTCCTCTCAAGCCACACTCACTAGCCATGCTACCAGCCAATCAGAGCAAGTATGCAAATTAGCCCCAACCAAGATGGCTATAGCCACAGAGAGCAGTTGAGAGGCCCTCCTAGGCCTCCACTCAAGGATACAAAGTTTCAATTATAGAAGATAAATCCCAAGAAAAATGGCAGCAGCCACTGAGCTGAAGAGAGCAGGCTAGGGTTGCCCCCAGCAATGGAGGAAGCAAAGCTTTCCACCTGCCCTGGCCGGCCTAGGCCTCTACTCAAGGTTACAAAGTTTCATTTATACAAGATATATAAAACCAAACAGAAATGGCGGCAGCCATGAAGTGAGCAGGAGGCTTGGTTCTGCTCCAGGCTACACAGTTTCAATTGTAGAAGGTAAATAAATTGCAGATACCAGGGCCTCCGCTTGGGTCGCAGGGGGCATGGCTGGCCTGCAAACCACCACAGGCCCCTCTGACAGGCCGCCCCACGCCCCAAGGGAACCCACACCCTGATCTGGGATACCCTTCAGGGCAAACCAGTTGGTCCCTATCCATGCAGCAGGCCTCTATCCTATCTAATAAAAGAGTAATATGCAGATTGACCATCACTCCAACACACAAGATGGCTCCCCCCATGTAGTCAAAGATCCTGCCCCCATGTGGACACAAGATGGCCA